TTTTTTTTTTTTTTTTTTTTTTTTTTTTTTTTTTTAATTAAATCCTTCGTAACCCAAGGGTTATTATTAGGATACAAAGTAATATTTTTAGTAGGTATAACAAAATCAACACAGAAATTAATATATTTAGAAATGGTAAGCACCTGTTTGTTAAGATCAGAACATGTGTTAAAAACAGATTCCAATCTGTGGAATCAAAACAACCCCTTAAAACTTAAGAAAAAGTTGAACAAATCATATCTCTCTCTTTACTTGCTTTACAATAGGAATGTACACAGAAGACAGCAAGATTATATTATGATCAGATGAACCAAGAGGAGCACCCGAAATCAGGCCATACCATCTATCCAAAACTTTATCAGCGCATGTAACATATCGATAATAGCCTTTAGATATTTATCCATAATACAATGGTTAAAATAAATGTAGGTGCATTTAGAGATATATTATCCAGTTTACCCAGGGCATTTGAGGGAACTCACAAGGAAGATAAAGAGGACATAAAGAAACTGCAATGAGTTCAATATCTGAATTACAAATCTTATGTCGTACTATTGCTGTATTACACCAACTTTCCTTTAATATAAACACACACACCTCCTCGGTGTTCTTTCCCTGTTGTATCTTTGTCTCTGTTCAGCCTGATCCATAAAGTGCTATCAGCGACTGAATCATCCAACCATGTTTCGGTGAATGGCATCATATGCCTGCTTCTGTATTCGTGCATGGAACTCACATTGGCTTGTAATTCATCCAATTTGTGGCAAAGCGAGCGTGCATTGCCTAAAAGTATTCCAGGCAGCGGAGTATATCTTTGAATCCTCTTTAGTCTACGTTGAACTCCACCTCGATTCTCATGTTTCTTCCTTACTCTCCTTTTCGGACCTCGGGTGTTCACAGAAGGCCAAACTAGTTCTTCGGGGAAGCGGCATCGACAGGACCGGCATTTGAATGCAAGCCCAACAGAACCTCACTTAATTTATCAGTGAATAATGACTTAAATAGCATGTCACCAGAATTATCATAGGACTCAGAAAACATGGACTGCACACAAGCCATATGAAGTAATGGTACTTTTGTGGTTTTTGTGTCCCTTCTATAGTTTACAGTTCTCATTCATTGTGTTTGCACGGAGAAAAATGACCAGTACATTATTCAGTTCCCTCCTTTTATGTGTGCAAATCTAGAGTTTTTCGTTTGTTTTGTTTTTAGTTTTACATGCTAAGTGATACTGAACAGTACTATATTAAGAATGCATAAATGTTTATTTATTTTGAAGTCGCATTCAAAATGATTCATATCGTTTCAGTCAGAAAGAATATGGTCAGCTGCCAATATTGAGAGATGTGGTGATGGCGGAAACAAATTTCAGTTGAAGTCCATCTTTTGAACTTGCAGGTTACAAATACACCCCCATCCAAACTTGATCACCTCCTTCATGAATTCATTGTACCACAATCATATGCAGAGGTACAAAGATTAATTTATATAATGGCTCATGAGTTGTGGGCATCTGTCAGTGCATTTAGTCCAGTGAATGGTCCATGAGTGTTGTTCCTATAGCCCTCACAGAGAAAAATCTAGACTGCCCACTCTCCTGTGCTGTCATTCTGAGTTTACATGACAAATGGCAAGGAACACCATCAGGTCACCACTGATGCCACAGACAAAATCAAACCCTGAAAACACACACACACACACACACACACACACACACAAACCCTGTCCATGGACCAAGAGATGCTTCAAGGATATCAACTATGTGCCAAAACATTTTTTATATTATTTTCATAGTAAACAGAATAGACAATAGACATTAGTCAGGTTCCATATAAATCACAGTGTATAAGAGACAAAACTCATATTCTCCACTAAGCAATGATATATGTTTCAGTGTGAATTCAACATTTAATAACAATATCCTGTTAAATTGTCAGAATTCTGGTAAATAACTACACTATCCATAATCCTGAAGGAAGATAATCCACCAATCACAGAATCGCTGCACAGAAACTATAAAATGTGAGGAAAAAAATATAATTGTAAGTTTTCTGATAAAAATTGAAATTAAAATGCCATTAAAAAAATCCTGAATTTGCTGTGCTTATTGTAGGTCTGCACAGTTTGGCAAAAATTGTTGTGATTATCTATCTATCTATCTGAGAACAACATAAGAAATATTTCTATTGTAACTGTAAAATAAAAAAATCTAATATTTAAAAAATAATATAATAATAATTTTTTTAATATTACAACTGCAAAATCACAATACTAATATTGGGCACATTTTGAGGCACATTTTGCCTTGATTGTCCAATGCTCTACTCGTCTGACACAATGTATGGATTCCATTTTCTTCAGGTTTTCTTAGCAAATATTCATATAAATCATTATTTTTTATTAATTTGATTAATTAATAACTATATTATGTAATTTGATTTTAAAAAGCACTTTAAACAGTTGACAACATTGTGTTGTCAATATACTGTATACAGTCTTTGTCAGATTTTCCAGTATTTTCTTAAATTAGAGTTATAAATGTTTTAATTCTTCTCTAAGCTGGTTGGTTTGATTAAAGGCTTTATTTTATTGAACTCTTTATTGAAGAAATTTTAATGTCTGTGGAAAAAAGGAATGAGAAAAAAATTCTAAGGACACTGAAAAAATTGCTGCTTGTTGTGCTGTATAAGGATGCTCAAGTAAACATCAGATTACGTCAGTGATGTCCATTTTGCTGTCTGATTGCATTCCAGCGATATTGTTCTTTTGATTATGATATTCTTATTGGTCAGTGAGTGATATCAGCATGCTTGATCTTTACACAAGTCCTTCTTTCTCACACACACCAACACTGTCAGTTTGAGCGTCAGTGGTGCTTAAGGGGGTTACCCTTTCCACACAACCACGCAATCTATTCCCCCCGGAGAAGAGGGGATGAGCAGGAAAAAGATGGATGGAGGAGAGGAAAGGGGAGGGCAAGAGAGAGGGATGACTCATCCTCTGTGAGAGCAGCAGTGCATCAATGTCTTAACCCACAGACTTTCATTTACAGTGAGCACACAATACTGACAGACGAACCGTGAAATGAGGAAAGATGAGAATTGAAGGATGGGAGGGCTCAGGGCAAATATGCCCCAGATATTTAAATTGTGAGGACTAAAATTTCATAGTATCTAATCCTTTTGACCACACTTCTATATTAAAAATAATGGTTCCAAACGGGTGTTTTTGCAGCGATGCCATAGAAGAACCATTTTGGGTTTCCCAAAGAACCTTTCAGTGAACAGTGAACCATTTTCCCCTACACTCTAAAAAGAAAAGGTTCGAGAAAGGCTTATTACACTCTAAAAATGCTGGGTTGTTTCAACGCAACTTGGGTTCCCCAATGAACCTTTCAGTGAACAGTTCTTAAAAGAAACATTTTTATTTCTTACTGTAAAAAAAAAAAAAGAAAACCTTTTGTGGAATGGAAAGATTCCATGGATGTTAAAGCTTCTTCATGGAACCATAGAGGCCAGTAAAGAACTGTTATTTTTTAAGATGTTCAGATGTTCAAGATGTTTTTTTGACACACACTACCAAAAAATAAAGGTTCTTTACTGGCCTCTATGGTTCCATGAAGAAACTTTAACAGTCATGGAACCTTTCCATTCCACAAAATGTTATAGTCATAAAAGGTTCTTTAGATTATTAAAAGGTTCTTCAGAAATTCAAAAATGGTTCTAAGAACTGTTCATTGAAAGGTTCTTTAGAGAACCCAAAATGGTTCTTCTGTGGAATCACTGTGAAAAGCCCTTTTTGAACCTTTATTTTTAAGAGTGAAATGGGCATGGTGTTATACGTTAGAAGCGAAATGCATCCTCAAAAATATACAAATATAGACGGCACCAGGGATTGAAATTAACTTTTTCACTCACCAGCCAATTTGGCTGCAAAATTTTTAAGTTACCGGCCATTCATAACTTCTACTAGCCAAAAAAAAAAAAGAGAGACAGATATAAACCAACAGTTTGAGGCTGTCTACACTGGGCGTGACACGATCATTTTGTGTCAGTACTAGGGTTGTGCGATATTGACAAAAAATAATATCTCAATATTGTCTGGGATTTTATCGATAAAGATAATTAGATGATATTTTGCTGTGTGCGTTATTGTGCTGATATCTTAAGGATACCGTGGACAGCTGACTTCTAAAGTTTTTGATATATTTCATATTCTGTGTGGTCAGTTCACCGCAGTGATAGAAATTAATCTTTTCCAATAGATTTTTTCCTTTTATGGACATTTTTACCTTTTATAAAGCCTTTTTTTTCTAAAAGTGTTTTATATAATTTAGTAATAGACAATAAGTGTTTATTGTCATATTTTAAGTAAAATTCTTCAAATTAATCAGTCAATTGTAATAATAAGACATTTAGGCTGTTACTAAACAAATGAAATCAGTATCAATAAAATGAATCTTTGCAGAAGTTGCATATGAAGTGGCATTTAGATGTATTTACACATGGTAATGCAGCTTAGAGGGACATGGAATGCTTTAGCCTGCAGTTACAAATGCATAAGTAATGTTTTGATATTTTAAACATGAAAGGTTGAATACTGATATTTGAAATTATTTAAAAAATGAAAAGATACTTTGAATGTGAAATTAAATCTGCGAGTATATGGCAGCAAGTCACTGGTAAGTGAGTCATTGCGATTGAACCGAATCATTTAAACGGTTGATTCATTCAGGAACAAAACAACATAATGTTGCTCAGAGATGCAAAAACAGTGCTGTGACTGTGTTTGGAATGTTTTTTGTTGGCGAAATAGCGTAAAAACAGCCAATATGGTGTCTAAAACATAAGTCTCCTGATATTAACTTATTGATTTTATACAACAGTTCAATAAACAATATCACATTTGTAACCATGCTGATTTATTTAAGAAAAAATGATCATGTTTCCACTGTGAAGAACCTTTTGTGCAATGGAAAGGCTCCATGAATGTTAGAGGTTCTTCATTAAAAGCATAAATGCAAATAAAGAACCGTGTTTTTTTTTAAAAGATGTTCAATCAAATTTATTTGACATACACCTCTAAAAATAAAGGTTCTTTATCGGCATCTATGGTTCGATGAAGTCGTGGAACCTTTCCGTTCCACAAAAGGTTCTTTATAGTGGGAAAAAAAGGTTCTTTTGAATTATAAAATGTTCTTCACTTTAGAAAAAAAAAAGGTTATTTTAAGAACTGTTCAATTAAAAGGTTCTTTACGGAACCCAAAATGGATCTTCTAATGAACCTTTATTTATTTAACTTTTATTTTTAAGAGTGTAAAAGGGCACAGTGTTATACGTTAGAAGTGAAATGTGTCCTCAAAAAGTAAAAAATGCTCTTGAATATCAATACCTTTGACAAACATAGACGGCACATTTCTAACATCAGTGTGTCGATGCATCTGTAACATCACAGAGCTGCATGATTCTGCTGCCTGCAGCTGCGTTTTCTATTTTATGAATGGATGCTGGGAGGGGCCATGATGTCAATACTCTCAGTGAGAACCTCCCCCCCACCTCCAGATGCGGGAAAAGCCTTCATAACCGTCTCCCTCCTCCACGTATCCCACGCATCCGTCCGCATGCGCTCACCGCCCCTCTTCCTCCAACCACACCTGTTCTCCTATCAGAGGAACCAGCTTCAGCCAGTCTGCTAAGGGGCTTGCTGACGCCAGAAGACCCCCCTTCTTTTCTCTCTCTCTCTCGTGCTCCTTTTTCGCCACTAAAAGACTGGCATGAATAATCCATGCCAGATAAAGAACTGCAGCAGAGAAGGACGTGATCACAAGCCACACTCGTGCATGTACGCACACCCTCAGACACACACACACACACACACGCGTGTATCGTGAGCATGGCTGATGGAGGCAGAGCAGAGGGGCGTGTGAGACTGCAGTGGCATCCTTCTTCATCACTCGACGCGTGCAAAGCAATCTTCCTCTTACGCTCCGAAAACTGAAGCTGGCATGTTCTGCTTCTGCCTGCAGGGCTCTTTGCTGAAGCTCCAGGCTCTGGAGGGAGACACCAGCCCTTCTTCAGACACCTCTCCTGAAGAAAGTCCACCTAGCCTGGGATTCAAAAATGAAATCCTGATTCCTTCATGCAATGGCGTTGGGGAAGAGCGCAGCCCACCAGGTAGGAGAGCCGGCAGTGCGTTATGGGTAGCATGTGAGTGCCTGATGGTCAAACTGAATGGTGGGCTGCTACATTGCATGATTGAATGAATGTGATCTGCTGATATGAAAACCCACTGACCGACTAACATGACTTATGGGAGGGCTGGGTTTATTTGTTTATGGGTTTTGTGAAGAAGATGGCTCTTGTTTTTTGGGCACATGTGAGTCAGTTGTCCGAGCCGCTTCACACTGGCATCTATTAATAACGCAGGCACTGAGATCGCAGGCACCTCCTCACAGCACGACTTTAATTCACAAGCACACATATCCATCCCACAATTTGGCGAGATTCTTTATGCACTACCTCTTACATACGTCATTTCACTACATACCTTTTTTTTTCTCTGCGCTAAAAGCTAACAAATGATGCTGGAGCTTTTTTGTCAGAGCTAACTTCACTCTTCTGAGCAGTTACTTGTAATCAGCTGGTGATTTTTAGCAGCTGTATGAAGTCAGTTCTCAAGTTCACACAGGTGTCCTTGCAGAGTAACCTCACATGTAGTATAATTATCTTCAAGTGATTTTTTTCAACCATAAAGTAATGTTCTTAAGTATGCAATGTCATCTCATGAAGTGACATTTAATATACTGTTCAAAATAGGTTCTGAATGTTTTAGAAAGAAGTCACTTATGCTTTTCAAGACTGCATTTATTTAATAAAAAATACAGTAAAAACGGTAATATTGTGAAATAGTATTACAATTTAAAATAACTTTTATATTTGAGTATATTTTAAAATGTCATTTATTCCTGTGATGCATAGCTGAATTTTCAGCATTATTGGTCCAGTCTTCAGTGTCACATGATCCTTCAGAAATCTTTCTGATATGCTGATTTGTTGCTCAATAAATATTTCTTAATATTATCAATTTTGAAAATAGTTGTGCGGCTTAATGTTTTTGTTGAAAATATATTTTTTAGGATTTTTGGGGGGAATAGAAAGTTCAAAATAACAGCATTTATTTGAAATAGAAATCTTTTGTAACATTATAAATGTCTTCAACTGTCACTTTTGATCTGTTTAAAAATGTTAATTATAAAAAAAGTTCTGACCCCAAACCTTTGAACAGTAGTGTACAAATTTAAGCTTAACTGAACTACTGAAGCCACTGCTTGTTAACTTTTTTTTCATTCATCATTATATGCCTCAGTGTTTGCATTGTCTTGATTTCAATGGGTCAGAGAGTGACTCAGGTGTGTGTGTGTGTGAAGCTGAGCAGTTTGTCATTTGTTCACTCTGTTCATTTTCGCTGTCTCTTTGCATCTTTGTTTTCATTTGTGTCTGCTATTGTTCTTTTTTGAGAAGTGTGGAATGATGAAGTTTGCTTGAGTCAGTATGAACAGTGAATTTGCTTTATTAAAGGGGTCATAATGATGCAATTTCAATTTTTCCTTTCTCTTTGAAGTGTTACAAGCTCTTGCTGCATAAAGAAGATCTGTAAAGTTGCAAAGACTAAAGTCTCAAATCCAAAGAGATATTCTTTATAAAAGTTAAGGGTCAACCACGCCTACCTAAAACGCCTCGTTCTGACACGCCCCCACATGTCTACATCACAATGTGGGAAGATTTGCATAACACCGCCCAAATGTTTACGCAAAGAAAGAAGGCGAAACTTTTATTCTCGCTGTAGTATTGTTGTTGCCGCCGCCATGTTGTGGAGATGCTGTGTGTTTCGTTGTGAAAGTGAAACTACTTTGTTTGGCCTTCCAAAAGAGGACGATATTCGCTTCGTCATGCCTAGAGCTGATCCGTGCTGGTCGCTGAGGAAATACATCAACTTCTCGCTGTGGATCGCCGGATCGGCTTTCACCGTGGACGAAGCGGAGTCCAGCCCGGGGTCGTCACATGGGGTTGCCGCAAGCCCGCCGGCCGCTCCTTCGTCGAATCCGCCGGCTGCACCGTTCTCAAGCCCGCCAGCCGTTCCTCACTCAAGCCCGCCGTGTGAGACGCTTGTGAAAGCGAAACTACTTTGTTTGGCCTTCCAAAAGATGACACGACTAGAAATCAGTGGTTAAGTTGTATTTACAACACTGTTCCAGAACAGTTAAACCCAAATATTCAGATGTGTGCAGCGCATTTTATGGAGGACTGTTTCCTGATCCTGGTAGAGTAGACTACAATGCCGGCTGTTCTGACTCACAGACCGTAAGTCCGTTTTCATTTTAAGGATTTGCCACTGATGATTCAAACGAGCTTTGTATAAATTGATGCGTTTCAGAAAGGCGGGGCATAGAGGAGAAACAATAATGTACAGTATGTTGAAAATAATGTGTTTTTTGAAACCGCATAAACACATTTAATTAAATGTAAACACCAAATACACAAAATTATTTTTAGCAACATCATATGACCCCTTTAATCATGCCATTAAAATGTCTTATCCCGAAAATGGGTTGGAGTTAGGACGATTCTAAGGACCCATGCACTTTTGGCACCCCCAGAGATCTGTTTTATTAGTAGTAACAGTAGTAATAATGTAAACCGAGCCGGACGATTTGGTCAGTTCCACTTTTAAACACATATTAGTTTTGCTATAGAAAATCTACAAATTCACAATTTGCTTACATAGAGCAGCAGCAGGAAGCGCCTGAGATTGTCATGGCAACCAGATACACTGCACTCGAATTACGGCTGCGTTTCTATTTTGCCACACTAAACTTGGCAATAAACACGTTGAAAATAATACACAATAAAAATGTCTGTCAAAACGATCTTAATCAAGTAGTGAATTACTCATCCAGTTTTAAAAAAATACTTTAGCTGGGTTTCCACAGGCAGGGTCACACTTATCTACAGTGTATGAAGCTAAAGGTTTTTGGGTTAAGGTTCATAATGTAGAAAATGTTTAACATTGTATGCTGTATGTGCATAGCTAGCAAACAAGGAATGCAGCTGTTAAGCTAATAGTCACATTTAGCTGAGTAAGACCATGATTGAGAAATGTTGGATACTGCTTGAAATGCTGGTGTTATGGGGTATCCTATTTATTATTTTAGGATTTTTTAGTTTGCCCCAGTAAAGCATTTCTATTAATATAACTGATTAAGTAGTCAAACTCATTCCATATCAGCAGAATAGTGTGGTACAGAAAGTTTATGTCCATAGAAACGGTTCTGAATTAATTATGTTACTGATACCTAATGGTCAAAAGCAATAGCAAAAGCAATAGGTCAATATTATTAAATTGCAGATTTTTAATAGCTAGGTTGGCTTGTACACTATATTGCCAAAAGTATTGGGACACCCCCTTCTAATTAACAGGTTTGACTACTTTAGTAATTTCCATGAGTACAAATCTGAATGTTTAAGCAAATAAGGATATTCTAGGGAATTGTGTGCTTCTAATTGTATACCAATAGTTTGGATAGGACCCTTTTCTATTCTAACACATCAATGCCTCTGTGTATAAAAAAGAAAAAGATTGATTCAGTCAGTGTGGAAGAACTTGACTGGTCTGCAGAAAGCAAAGTCCTAATCCCAGCTGAACACCTCTAGTGTGACTCTAAATGCAGACCTTGAGCCAGAAACTTATCACCAAACACCAATGACTTGTACATATGCGTAAAATCATTTTAGACACTTCCAAAACTGGAAATACAATTTTTAAATACATGAATTGTTTCCATCTTTGATGCCACAGTTTTTGGAAGGGGGGTGTCCCAATATTTTTGTCCATATATGTATGTACAAGTCATTGGTATTTAGTGATGATGAGTTTGTGGCTGAAGGTCTGCATTTAGTCACACCAGAGGTGTTCAGCTGGGATTAGGACTTTGCTTTCTGCAGTCAAGTTCTTCCACACTGACTGAATCTATCTTTTTTTAAACCTTGTCTTATACACAGAGGCATTGTCGTGTTAGAATAGAAAAGGGTCCTGTTCAAACTATTGGTATAAAATTAAAAGCACACAATTCCCTAGAATATCGTTATATGCTTAAACATTAAGATTTGTACTCATGGAAATTACTAAAGTAGTCAAACCTGTTCATTAGAAGGGGGCGTCCCAATACTTTGGGCAATATAGTGTATGTTTGGTGCGGTAGGGGGCCCAATCTAATATTCTTTCATAGGGCCCAAAATCGCTAGCAGCGCCCCTGACCATCACTATTACTGTTTAGTGTTAGTGAACTGAACAATCCCCTAATGGTAAGTTTTAAACTTGTCCCACGTTGTTCATGCTATGAAATGATACCTCAAATCATGCATTTTGTTGAGGACAGGTGTGGTATTACTTTTCTAACAAATCAGATTTACATTGTAGACAACTTAAAAGAGGTTAAAAAGTTCTATAGAGCCTCAAGCTTTATCTAAAAAAACTGAATATCATAGGGTTTTTGTGACAGGCCTAACCCAACCACCCATCTGGTTATTATGCTCATTTTAAAGAAACAAACATTTCATTGCACTAGAAACAGTTCATTGACATTGACATTGGAACAGACTTAGGAATGGTTTACTGCCTTGGTAGTGTAGTTACTAGAGAGCTGACTGAAGCACACCTTAGAAACCTTATACGAATGCAATAACAACCCCTCAGGACACTTAAGCAACCACATAGCAACACCCTGGCAACAGCCCATAACACGTGCATAGCAACACTGTAACAACCCATTCAGAACATCCCAGCAACTGCATAGTGACATAAAAATAACATTAGCAACTGTATTTCAACTCCCTAGCACCCCAAAACACAATAACAACCACTCAGAACATCTTAGCAACAAGTTATAAACATCCTGGCAACCACCCACAATAACCTAGCAAATCTACAGCAACACATTCCACTCAGAAGACATTACTAACCACATAGCAACTCCCCATAGATATGTATACGTAGATGCCTCATTAGCGTCTGTTTCCATGGGCCGCTATACCTAAGGCTTCCGCCATATTTGAAGAGTCAACTTGACGTCATTCACCATAACAGTCAATGGTCTGCGAACCCTCGAGTGCAGTGGCCGAGAGAGCTCAATGTTTTTGTTGTGTAGACCTAACTAACACCATACAACAAGATGAGCGCATTAGCTAACACAACATTAAAAGTTACCAATGTTTCAAAACTTGTAATATTGAGTTAATACATTTAAAAGCACAAACCAACACATTCTCACCTGTGAAAGGTTATCCCGTTTCTTCAGGAATTTATTATCCCGACGGTTTTTACAACCATCGGCTGTGCAGGATTGTGGCATCTTCGAATATTCATTGATTATTATGGCGAATGACGCCAAGTTGACCGTTAAAGATGGCGGACGTGCTTGGTGCAGTCGAATGGGGAATCTACCTATACATATCTATGGCAACTCCCTAGCACACCTTTGAAACTGCATAGCAACACAGTAACACAGTAGCCTATCACTTAAAACATATAGACACCTGCATAGCAACTCCTGAGCTACATTCCATAACATCTTAGCAACCACATATAAACTCTCTGACAATCACTCACCATATATATAACACATTAGCAATCACACACAATATTCTGGAATCATGCTGGCAGGTTTTGCACAGCAAGCACCGCTCACATTTTCTTCAGAGAATTTTACTAGTATTACTAGTCTAGTATTTGAAATGGGTCAGATTGGATATCAGGCAACTGTGAGAAAATCGTATGTCTTTTCCAGATGAAGTGCTCGGTTTGAATTGTAATCTGAGGGTTAGGAACAGTAGGACACACTGCTTTTATCCTAGCGCAGGACTCTGATCTCTGTTTGTGTTCAGACTGTAGGCTGGCAGAGGGTGACTGTAGCAGTGATCTCCAGCAGAGCCCGGGGCCCAGTCGACTCATCCAGCGCATCACAGACGACAACAGCCCCCTGCCCTCCCCGCGCTGCTCCAGCCTCAGCCAGAGCCAACGCTTCAACACAGACCCTGAATCTGCCCCGTCTCCACCCTGCGCACAACATCTCTTCATGTACGAACACACACACGCACGCACGCGCACGCACGCACACGCGTTTACTTAACTATCTAAATGGGGACATTACATAGACTTCTATTGTTTTTATATACAGATAGTTGTACACTTTTTAACCTAAACCCACCCCTAACCCTACCCCTCACAGAAAACTTTCTGCATTTTTACAATTTAAAAAAAACTTTGTTTACCAGTTTTACAAATGAGGATGTCCACAAATGGAGGTTTTTGGCGATTTTGTTTTGCTCACTTTTGGATACAGATTTGTCCCCAAAATACACACACACACACACACACACACACACACACATATTGGGTTTCCATGCTTTATGGGGACGTTCCATAGATGTAACGATTTTCTTTTACTGTGAAAACTGTATTTTCTATCCCCTTACTCTAACCCTAACCCTAAACCTATTTTCAAAAAAGATAATTCTGTATGATTTATAAGACGTTTTCCTCATGGGGGCCGAAAAAAGTCCCCACAAGGTCGAGGATTTTGGTTATTACCATCATTGTGGTGACATTTTGTCCCCCTAGAATTGGGTATACCTGAACCACACATGCACACACACAGCTCTTTTGGTTGGCCTGTTCAGTCAAAATACCTCCTTTCTTCTTTCCTGGAGAGCAAGTCCCAGAATCAGCCGGCTGCAGCAAGTAACACAGTGACCCACTTTTTAAACCTGATTATCATTTCTCATTATTACAGTTTTTCTCGATTGCTAACACACTATAACTGATTCATTTGGCCCAATTTTCCAAACCATATATGCAGTTCTCAAAACAAAGACACGTTTCTCAAAACTTTTAACACATTTCACCTGTTTGCACACATGTTCCAATCTGCTCAGTGTTTTCTGCAAAACTCTACACAAAAACGCCATAATTTTGCACAGGTTTAACCATGTTCTCATTCAGAAAACCCAAACACAATATAATTAACTCAAGCATCAAAAAATGAACTCAAACAGCACACATCTGTCAGGACCACTATCGTCTGTTACAGTTTGGATTGGCGGTATGGTTCTGTTCTGGGCAAGAACTCCCTGCGCATCCGTGCTGCCTAGCATGGATGAGAGCAGGGAGAGCAGCGATAACCCCCCAGGGTAAACAGAACAGAACCAACATAAATGTATTGCAGATATCGTTAAAGTTCAATAATGTTATGTACACATTTTTTTATTAATCTGATTCAAAGGAGAATCAGAAGGCTGAATCCTGACTGACAGAGGAGGAGTTGGGGATGGAGGAGGGTAATTAGCTATTGAGCAATGCGAAAACTGCTGATAATACTGAGGGACCTTATATATGAATGCTTAGATAGGTGTCGTATTCCCATAGGTTGATGGGGATCAGCTGAGAGTCAGCTGATGCAAGCTTGACTAACGTAACCTGCCAGAATTAACGCTACGCTAGATATTTATCCATGTGTGAACATTAAATAGCAAAACTGATGACACAGCAGTCAGAATCTTAGGATGATATGCACAGGAGCACAGCTGATTATGTGTTGGAAAATGATTCCTGGTAGTGGGAGACAAAGAGGAAATGGAGGGGAAAATAAAAATGAAGGGGATGAGGTCAAAGGACATTTGTTCCTGATGAAATACAAATCACTATAGTTGACCATGTTCTTCTGCATGGACTGACCATGAGGGAAGTAAGCCTACAGGCTCATCTACAAGGTTTCAATACTACTTACACATACAATATAATTACAGTACATAGTAGCAGTACTTCAGATGAGAGAATTTTCATTATTCTATGTACAGTAAATACTGTAGCACATGCTGTACACCCTCAAACTCATTACTGTTGAATTGATTTGTAGCCAAGAATGTACTGTATTTGTGCAGAACTGAGAGACGACGGTCTAGGGGAGGCAGAGAAGTCTTTTGTCAGAAGACTTAGAAACTGCTATAACAAATAAGGATACTACCAATACTGTAATGCAAATTGGCAGAGGATGCTGAATGAATTAATGAATTTACAGTTTTTCAGAATTGCTAAAACGCTAAACCCCAATCTCTGAACCAAATTCTCACTAGCTTAAACCAATTTGTCGAATAAAGCACTCTTTCTGCTAAACCTTAAACACATTCAGGCAGTTAGGCTTTATTTGCAAATCTCATGCACTCGTTTTGCAAAACTCTAAACACATTCTCATTCACTCAAACACTTATCACATTGTGATGCATTTGTGCTGCAAAATGCTAAACACAAGCGGCAAAAGTTAAACACAACTAAAGCTCAGTTGTCATCGTTTGCACCCAACGATTCAAAATTGTTCACACGTGTTTCTAATGATGTGATCAAACCAACTGTACAAAATCTGAGCCAGTTCAGAGTGCACAAGTGGCACAGGTGACTGAATGATATACGAACAATAGATGGAAACAATCTGAGAACGAGAGGAGGAAGAGTACATGTAAGAAGTGGAGGATGAGGAGAGAAAAAGTAAGGTTTAGAGAGTGTTATCAAAGCTGGATCTGTCAGACCAGAGGGTTTTTTTCTCTTTGTCTAGCAAAAAAAAGACAACATTACTTGTGATGTGGACAAAGTCCTCAGGCCGGACTCAAGCACAAAGACATGATGCTGAGACAGAATGAATCTCTCATTGACCCAGATTTTACTGTATAATTGCACAACTAACAGTATTTAAGTGTACTGTAACATGCTTTTCATTTAGAGATTTATTTGACCTTTTTGGCCTTTGCAGTTGGACTGCAGTATTTTTGCAGTATCCAAGTGCTGAATATATACAAACATTCAGTACTATTCAATATTCAGCACATGTTCTTGGAGTACATACAGTAGGCCTATACAATATATTTACCTTACTAAGTTGCAATTACTATACTTTTTTTACAGAATTGCAAAATTGTTTACTCAATACAATATACTTTTCTTAAAGTTTATTGATGAATTTTACTGTATCTGCATCCTCTATTTATGCCATATACTGTAACTGGTGTAGTCTGTGTATTTGTTAGGTTTATGCATCATCTGAGGCCAAAGTTTGATTTTGACTGAAGAGAATATGTTTTTGACTAGAATATTTGGTTTTGACCTGGAAGTTTGAGGTTTGTGCAAGTTGCTGTATATAGTTTTGAGATTGTGTTTATAGTTGTGAGAAAATGGTGAATTGTTTCATGAATTGTGTATTAGCGATCAAGAAAAACTGTAACATGAGTTTCCTGCTGACTAATGCTGTAGTGATGGAAACCGACATCTGTGACGGCCTATACTGTGTGTGTGTGTGTGTGTGTGTGACGGAAAATTATTTCCCGGCTGTGTGTGTTTATTTTTTTTTTTGGTTGGTGTTTATGATGTTTTCAGCCTGACTCACTAGGTCTGCACTAGTAGCTAGTAGTACTAATAGACCCACACTGTACATTATTAGGGTAAATAGATAGAGTAAAATAAACTGGACAGGACAGACAGAATTGCATGGCTGCTTAGAAATTTTTTAATTTGAATTGATTTTGTTATGTAAAAACAAAGAGACCACAGGATGATACAGGTGATGTGAAATTATCAATCATACAGCTTAACACCATACAAAAATATCATGTTTGGGTTTGTGTGTTTGGAGTCAGTGAGTTGTATGTTTGTATGTGTATATATATATATATATATATATATATATATATATTATTATTATTATTATTATTTTTATTTTTTTCAGCATTGATGATTAAATTGATCAAAAGTGACAGTACGTTTTAATGTTACAACAAAAAAGTATCATGGTTTCCACAAAGCACCTCTGTATTCAACATTGAAAATAATAATACATTTTTCTTAAGAAGCAAATCGGCATATTACAATGATTTCTGAAGGATCATGTGACACTGAAGACTGGAGTAATGATGCTGAAAAATCATTTTGCATCACAGGAATAAACTGCATTTAAAATATATTACAGTACAACAGTTATTTTTAATTATAATAATATTTCACAGTTTTTGATCAGCTTTGGTGAGCATAAGGGACTTTTTAAAAAAAATCCCCAAATCCCAAACTCTTGAACAGTAGTCTACAAATACTTGTATTTATATAGAATTCACAAAAAGTGGTTCTGACAACAGAAAATCTGCATTACTATCAAAACTGCATTTTGGCAGTTTTATTAATCCGATTAATGTAGCCTAGTCTATATGATCATTGTAGTTGAATGAGTGTGTTTATATGTGTGTTCTCTTCTATTTAGGGCTCGTGGAGTTGTTAGAACGGAGGTTCCTGGAGATGCCAAGGAAGCTACTTCCATCCCACTCCTCACTAAACACATCCAAACTCTCAAGAGGAAAATACGCAAGTTTGAGGAGCGCTTTGAACACGAAATGAACTATAAGGTCAGAATGATTAAAAATCCTGGATATATATAATAGAAAATTGGACATTCAGTTCAACATTCAACATTGTTGTTTAGTGCACTCTACTGGAGAAGTATAGAACTTACTGTGCTGTGTGATTTTGATTCGATGATACAGTATATGACCAGGAGAATGTGCTAATTATGATTCCAGATAAGAAGTTATAGTTCCTGAATTGAGTTTGTGCCTGTTCTCACCCACAGCCTTCACATAATGATAAATCAGTCAATCCAGAGATTTTCAATCTCATGAGTGAATTAGCCAGGTCTCGCAAGCAGCTCAAAGGTAAGACCACTAGTCCAAATAATAAAACTTAAGGTGATTCATTGGCCTATTTTATTAATTAAAACTATTTTATAAGATTATTTGCTACATTGGTCTCAGGACATTCCTATGCATTTTATTTAATGTGTTTAACCCATGTTCTGATTTACCTTATCTTTAAAACAAAGTCAAACATAAATACATAATCAGTAGATTCAAATGTTGTTGTCAATCTTAGTTTAAAAAAAGATATAATTATATATTTTTATATATATAATTAACACACACACACACACACACACACACACATATATATATATCACTGTATATATTTAAAACATTATCTGAAAACAATGCAGACATTTTGTGGTGCTGTCTGTCAAAATGAAAGTTTCGAGGAAGTTGTGATGGTTGTGTAACGATTTTGCCAACTATTTTAATGTAGAGAAATATGTTTAATCAATAGTGAAATTAAAAGTAACATTATTACTCCAAATTCTTAATGGAAACAAGTGTTGGACTAGTGAAATTCCTCGATTGTGTGACGGTTGAATTGCTTTGAATGCAATAAATTCCACTTCCTGTCATTCTCTCCATTTATTATAATCCAATTCATTTCAGAATCAAACTAATGAACTTGTTTACTCATTTCCCCAGATTTGAAGCTTAGACAGACATTTGAGGAATCCCGGACACATGAGAACAACCACTCCACAGATATTTGCAGGTACACTACCGGGCAGCAGGAGACGCCAGAGCAGCAGCACAAGCCCTCTCTGGAGGAGACAGTGGACTCACTCCTGAAACTACTACGGGAGAAACGCCAGGCCCTCGGCCTCCCAGACAACATGAAGGTGAGGCCATCTGCGGATGCATTCTGTTCGGGTGGGTGGGGATTTGATTGTGTGCTTGTGTGGCCAGGGTTTGAGGTGATTAACTCAATACGCGCTCTTGTGTCCACAGGAGATGACCCAAAGACAGATGGCCCTGGAGAAGATCACTCTGCAAAAATGTCTGCTGTATTTTGAGAGCTTACACGGCCGCCCTGTAAGAGGTTTTTCGCATTTATATACAGAAATGTTCTAGTTAATTAGGTACGGATTAGGATTATAGCATTAATATTTGAACAAATGTTTATTTTAATGTGATATTGACCCCGTAGGGCACCAAACCAGAGGAGAAAAACCTGGTGAAACCTCTCTATGATAGATACCAGATGGTGAAACATCTCCTATGTGCGACTCCCAGTATTACAACTATAGTAAGTGTTATTGTATATACAGTACAAATACACTGCCAGTCAAATGTTTGGAATGTGTATATATATACACTGAACAAAATTATAAACGCAACACTTTTGTTTTTGCCCCCATTTTTCATGAGCTGAACTCAAAGATCTAAGACTTTTTCTATGTACACAAAAGGCCTATTTCTCTCAAATATTGTTCACAAATCTGTCTAAATCTGTGTTAGTGAGCACTTCTCCTTTGCCGAGATAATCCATCCTCCTCACAGGTGTGGCATATCAAGATGCTGATTAGACAGCATGATTATTGCACAGGTGTGCCTTAGGCTGGCCACAATAAAAGGCCACTCTAAAATGTGCAGTTTTACCACACAGCACAATGCCACAGATGTCGCAAGTTTTGAGGGAGCGTGCAATTGGCATGCTGACTGCAGGAATGTCCACCAGAGCTGTTGCCCATTAATTGAATGTTCATTTCTCTACCATAAGCCGTCTCCAAAGGCGTTTCAGAGAATTTGGCAGTACATCCAACCGGCCTCACAACCGCAGACCGCGTGCAACCACATCCAGCATCTTCACCTCCAAGATCGTCTGAGACCAGCCACCCGGACAGCTGCTGCAACAACCGGTTTGCATAACCAAAGAATTTCTGCACAAACTGTCAAAAACCGTCTCAGGGAAGCTCATCTGCATGCTCGATGTCCTCATCGGGGTCTCGACCTGATTGCAGTTCGTCGTCGTAACCGACTTGAGTGGGCAAATGCTCACATTCGATGGTGGCCTTTTATTGTGGCCAGCCTAAGGCACACCTGTGCAATAATCATGCTGTCTGTTTTCACTGTACAGGGCAGATGGCAGACAGCGTGTATGGTGTCGTGTGGGTGAGCGGTTTGCTGATGTCAACGTTGTGGATCGAGTGGCCCATGGTGGCGGTGGGGTTATGGTATGGGCAGGCATATGTTATGGACAACGAACACAATTGCATTTTATTGGTGGCATTTTGATATACCGTGTTGTGATCCTGAGGCCCATTGTTGTGCCATTCATCCACGACCATCACCTCATGTTGCCGCATTATAATGCACGGCCCCATGTTGCAACGATCTGTACACAATTCCTGGAAGCTGAAAACATCCCAGTTCTTGCATGGCCAGCATACTCACCGGACATGTCACCCATTGAGCTTTTTGGGATGCTCTGGATCGGCATATACCACAGCGTGTTCCAGTTCCTGCCAATATCCAGCAACTTCGCACAGCCATTGAAGAGGAGTGGACCAACATTCCACAGGCCACAATCAACAACCTGATCAACTCTAT